ATAACTGTACCTCATGGTTTTTCACTAATAAAAAAAAGGAAAAAAAAAATATATTGAACAGTATATAAAATATATTAAACAGTATATAAAGATTATACCATGAGAATAATTTTTTAGAAATCATCTTATTAATCATCTTAAATGATGATTAATCATCTTATTAATCATCTTAAATAGGTAAACTATTTTGAAATAAATTGTATTCTGTAAAGGAAATAAAAATTAATATCAGACAGATGGACTCAGAAACTCTGTATTTCTTGTTTGAGCTCTTATGTATAAAATGGTAGATGTTTCAGTAATGTTATTTTAAGTAAAGGCATGAGGAAACATGTACAATACTTCTAAGAAATGAATCAATAATTATATCTCCTATGTTTAATTTTCTAATTTAATATCTTGATAAATTTAGATCCTCTGAGGCTTAAAACACGAAGAGCAGTGTTCTTATTAATATTCCTTTTTCTCTAATAATCTAATTAGAAGGAACATTTTTTCTATTGGCCATCAAACCAGGCCAATATCCATATTTAACTATCCTTGTTATTTTTTTGCTGAACTGTTTCTCTCTGAGCATATCAAAATGGTTTGATAAAGATACTTACTTACTCTTTCTCTTCCTTTTTCTCATTTTCTCTTTTTCTCTCTCCCCATCTCTCTCACATAGAGAGGAAGTATTTTAAACCAAATATTTAAAGCCAGCAAAAAGATAAATTGGATCCATTTTGAGTTATCAGTATTATTTCTAATTCATTAATGGTCAGACTATCCCATTTTATACAGTAATCCAGCTGTTGTGGTGATAACCTTAAATTTGATGGATACAAAAGTTATGGTGAAAGAAAGAATGTTAAAATCTCTTTCAGTTTAGAAATACAGGATAGAAAATGTTATATTGGCCATTTAGTTTTTTATGAAGTGATGAGGGCAATGTTTGCTCTAAAGGGATAATTTAAGAGTAATGGTAAAATTTCTTTGGTCATAGGGAAACTTTGTTATTAAAATTTTTAAAGCTTCTTCTGTTCCCTGTTTTACCAGACTTAATACAACTTCAAAGGTCAAGTCACTGATACAAATCTTGTGGAGAGATTCTAAACTGAATTCTAGGTGCTCTCTGCCTCCATTTCCGGCTTAGTAAAAATATTTGTTAAAGCAGACAAAGCTGATTGATTGCTGGGTCAGCTCTCAGTTGATGAAGGCTTTTTAGTTATGATTGTAGTTATGTCATACAAAGCCTGATATTTGAAGTTGCTCAGTGGTTTATAACTAGCACCATCCAGGATCCTGGTTAAGTAAACAGGTAGATGATAACAAGGATTAAAGCAAGAATCTGCTTATCACCATATGAAACTTGTGGAATTTAGGAAAGGGTAGCACCACGGACATCTCTTTACCAGCAAAGTGTTTAATCTGTGAAAATTCTGTTAAGATTGTGGTTCCACCTTTTCCTAGGCAAAGACTCTACTACTGGCAGAAAGCTTGTTTTTTGCAGTAGTTAGGTTTCTCATCTGCAGCATGAGCATAATATCTACTTTATAGAATAGCAGTACCAGTGAGAATGATATCTTGTGGATGGTTAAAAAATAGAGGGGGTTTAAATTATATGTAGCACTGTCCTCCCGTTGTTCATTGATTTGTTTGAGTGGGCCCAGTAATGTCTCCATTTTGAGACTTGTTGTTACTGAGTTTGTCATATCGAATACGTTACGGGCAGTTTGCCAGGCTTTCCCGTGGCGGGCGAGATACTTTCGATAACTTGCCTGGCTCTCCGAGAGGGGATTGTTATATACAAATACAATATGATTATGAAGTCAAGAAAACACTAATATACACTAAAATAGCGGGTTTTGTATCTAGGTTTAATTGCAAAAATCAAAAAATAATGTAATGAATTTTCCACGGAATATTAGATCTAGGTTCCTATCCTGTAACTTACATTATCTTTCTAGGAATTGTTTTGATCACTTCCACTTAAATAAACCAACAGTGACAGGAAACACTTTTGGACATTTCAAAATACAGGTGTTCTCTTAAGAGAACACTTAATAACAAAAAGCAGTGTAGTAAGGTAGTAAAATAAATAAAAGATGTTACTATCATTTTATTAAGCCTTTTACTTTTAATCATTGATCTTTAAGATTTAATTAGGTTAAGAAAAATAGCTGTGGACTGAAGCGATAGCACAATGGGTAGGGTGTTTGCCTTGCACATGGCCAACCCAGGTTTGATTCCTAGCATTCCGTATGGTCCCTTGAGCACCACCAGGAGTAATTCCTGAGTGCAGAGCCACACCTGTGCATCGCTGGATGTGACCCAAAAAGCAAAAAATAAATAAAGGAAAAGAAAAATAGCAGTAATTTTTTGGAAGTTATTTCAAAAAGAGCAATTAAATAAAGTAATGGCAGAGATAAAGATCCAAAAGCATAGGGTGGAGAAAGATCACTGAGATAATGGTAAATGGAGTAAAGATTATTTTAGAGGATGTAGTGTTGGAACTTTTTATACATAAAAACTTGTAAGGAACAGTATTTTAAAAAAAGGTTATTCAAATAAAAATCTAAAATTCTTTGAAAGATACAATAAGTAGATATACTTTATTGATTTGAAAAGGAAATGAGTATTTCCCGAATATCTTATTGACTTCAAAACATGTTCTTGTGTTTATTATGCCATATGAATGGCATTTAGATTACAGGGCTAGAGTTGTGCTAAAATTCACATTCTTGGAAATTTCAGGGATTGTCTCTTCTATAAGTAGTCCTTATGATTAAAAGAAGGCATTTTCTATAAGAGGATCAGGATGAATATAAGCTACCCCAAAATGGGAATGTTACCTCTTTCATGGCTTAATAGGCAAAGCCATGTAGCAGGGGAACTTTTGGAAGGAGATGAACTAAGCTGACTGTTCTGACATAGGTTATTATTGAAATTGCTACAAGAGGAAGACTTCTGTAAAGACTATGAAGCCAATGGCTATTAAAAGAAGTAAAAACTCATAATTCAACATCTGCCTGCGATGGGTTTCATTTTTTGGTCTTTTTTCAGTTTCCTAAGCTATGCAGTCAAGTTATGTATGTGGCCCCTTCCTTCTTGATGAATGCTTGCCTAGATATAAAGTTTCTTTTAATGCCTCTTCTGCAGTGTCCTACAACTTCTGGTAGGTCATATCCTCATTCTTTTTTGTGGGTCATGTCCTCATTCTTGTTTGTTTCCAGGAATTTTGATTCCTCTTTGATTTTATCTCTAATCCACTGGTTTTCAGTGGTCAGCTGTTTAATTTCCAGGTGTTTAATTTAATTCTCCCTCTCTCTTTGTGATTGTCTTCTATTTACAGTGTGTCATGGTTTGAAGATACCCTATGCAATTTATATAGCTGGGGTTTTTTTTCTCTATTTTTTAAGGTATGCTTTGTGGCTCAGCATGTGGCCTATCTTGGAGAATGTCCATGTGCACTGGAGAGAAAGCATTTATTCCTTTAAAATCAGCGTTTCCTTTCTTTTCCATTTTTTGAGCTTTAGTCTGGTTTATCTATTAAAAGGTGACTGAGCACTGTTGAAGTATCCAACTCCTATTGTGTAGCTATATATGTCCTCCTTGAAATCTATTAGCAGATGTTTTAAGTATTTTACTGTTCTCTTATTAGGTAAATAAGTGTTTAGAAGTGTGAATTCTTTTTGATGTACATATACCTTGATTAATAAGAAATGACCCTTTCTGTCTCATATTTTTGGGCCTGAAATTGATGTCATCTGACATTGATATGGCCACCTCAGCCTTTTTTGAGTAAGTTGTTTGCTTGAAGGATTGTCTTCCTACCTTTGACTTTCCTACCTTTAACTTCGAGTCATATTTTGCTTTATTGAAATGTACTTCTTGAATGCAAAAGAATATTGCATTCAATTTTTAATCCATTTTCCACTCTGCTCTTAGTTACTGCATTTAGGCCACTGACATTGAAAGAGATTATAGTCATGGAGTTTTGTGCCATCTTTCTGTATGTTTGGTATGTTTGTGAGGTTTATCTTGCCTTGAAGTAGCCCCATCAGTTGTTATTTTGAAGTTGTTTTTGAGTCCTTGAAGTTCCTGAATTGTTCATCTTTGAAGTTGTGTATTATTTCTTCAAATTTGAATGAAAGTCCTGACAGGTCAAATATTCTTGATAAGGAATTCATTTAATTGAGATTTTTAAAATTTTGTTTTAAACTTTATCCCACAATTTTCTTTGGACTTGGAGGCCTTGTTTGATTGGTCTGATTTAAATCTTGGGGATTCCCCTTAGTAAGTAATTTCCTTCTTTGATCTTGTGAAGTTTTGTATTCTATCCCTATGAGTTTCTTCATTCTGATTATGATATATTTGGGTCTGTTTTAGCTGGGACACTTTGGGCTTCCTGGATCTGAGAACATGAGCTCTTGAGCTCTGAGAACTTTTCACAAAGTACTATTTTATATAAGGATGTAGACAACTACAGAAGGCTTTGTAGTAGAATATGATTTTAGTTCTCTTATCTTAATCTAAGCTTGGATGATTTTCTTCTTACTAGTCTGATAGATGAATATTATTATCTGTTCAATAGTCCATTAAGGAATATATTGAAGAATTAGCTATTTTTTACCAAGGCAGCATTTAGAAATCTATCATCAGAGGTAAATGATTATTGTTCTGTTAACCCTTAGAACTTATAAGAGGAAAATGTGAGTTATTCAGTAATTGCATGATTTGTAAACAGTAAAGAACACTGAGGTTTAAACCATAAAATTAGTTTGAGTTCTTGCTTTATTACTTACCAGATGTGTGGCTTTTGGCAAGTGATGCATGGCTTTTGGCAAGTTGCTTAAATTTTGAGTCAGTTTCCTCCTAAAAAATACAATGAAGCAGCTCAACCTATGTCAGGGGATTACTGTGAGATTTTGTTAGTTATTCATGAATGTGCTTCAAACTTATGACACATTTTTGAAATAAAACTTACAGTCATTCTCCTTTTGTAATTTTTTCTACAGAAAGTGAGTGAGAAGGTTGGAGGAGCTGAAGGAACCAAACTAGACGATGACTTCAAGGAGATGGAAAGAGTAAGTGATCACCATTAAGCACTCCCCCTGTCATCAGATTGTCCAGAATATTAAGAGAAGGAAGAAAAGGACCCTACTTTACCCTGGTTACAGAAAATGTTTTTTGTTAAGCTTTTGTTGTTGTTGAGATACAGAGTCACAAAGTTGTTCATTCAGACAATGTTCATTGTTCAGTCAGACAATGCTCTAACCCCCATCTCTTCACCAGTGTACGTATCCTACCACCAATGTCCCCAGGTCCCCGTTTGCTCCTGCTCACAGTTTTGTTAGTCTTAAAAGTATTCTTCTTATAGTACGTATATAAAACAAAAAAGAAAGTGTATTCCTTTTACTATCCTAAAAACACAGCCTAAGAAAATGCCATTAAAGGGGGGTCAGGATGTTTGCCTTGAACTCAGCTGACCCGAGTTTGACCCTCAATACCCCAAATAATCTTCTGAGTCTCACCAGGAGTACTCCCTGAACTCTGTTAGGTATGACTGAAAACAAAACAAAACTCGATATGTACTTTTCTTAATGTTTTATTTATTTAATCGTTGAGAAGATTATCTCCTCATCAGTCACCCTCCAGAACTCACGGCTCCTTCTCCCAGAAGGGAGCATAAAATGAGACCCCCATAACCATTTCACCAGACTCCGCACCAGGCTATTTTCACTTGGGGCACCCCAAAGGAGGGGGTGAGAGACCACCCCGCCCCAAGAGACCCAGCCCCAACAGCCAACCTCCACTACCCAACCGCTGCCACACTCCAGGCCACTTTCCACATGCTCAGTCCGAGCCTCACATATGAGTGAACGTATTCCTGGACACAGCATAAGACACTCCCTACTCATTTTCCATAATTATCCCACCATATTTGATAGGGTTCAGACAGTAGACAACAAATTATAGAGGGAAATATTTTATGTATATTATATATATATACATATACATATATATATATGTACACACACATGCAATCCAACGAAGAGTATCCCCCATGACAGATACTCCTGGCATATTCAATATGCCAAAAACAGTAACAATAGCAGGTCTCATTCCCCTGACCCTGAAAGTTACAGTGGCATATTTGATATGCCAAAAAACAGTAACAATAACAGGTCTCATTCCCCTTACCCTGAAAGAGCCTCCAATCATTGGGAAAGACGAGTAAGGAGAGGCTGCTATAATCTCAGGGCTGGGAGCCATTACTGGCGCCCATGCAAGTAAATCGATGAACAATGGGATGACAGTGATACAGTGATTTTATTTAATCATTTAATCATTTTATGATCCCTTTTCTAAATAGGGATGTTGTGGAGCTAATGTATCAATAGAGTGAGGAGAGGTGGGGGCAAGGGAGGGAAAGAATGCTCTCCCAAAATATTTCTGGGAAAGTTTGCATTACTGTCTGGTGTTAGAATGCCCTCAAACAAAACTGTGCCAACCAGAGGTGGCAGCTAGACTCATGGTGAGACCATCGTTGTGTAGCCTGATCAACCTCTCATTCCACTCACACTACTTACTGCATGAGTTAGTTCATTGTTCCTGGGTCTTTAATATCTAAAACTAGTAGCATGACATTACTAAACTTGCGAACTTGATGTTATCATGTACTTAAAAATATAATTCTTGATAAATTATTTGTGAATAGTTATATTATTAATAAATGAGAATGGGGTTGGAGAAATAGTACAGTTTAGGACACTTGCCTTGCATGCGCCCCATCTGGGTTCAATCTTCAGCATCCCATATGGTTCCCTGAGCACCACCAGAAGTAATTTCTGAGTGCAGAGGCAGGAATAACCCTGAACATCACTCAGTGTGGCCCAAAAACAAAACAACAACAACTCACCTAGGATCCCCCCAAAAAGTGGGAGTGGAAAGAGTGAAAAGATACCATTCTTCATTTTTGTAATGATGATTGCTACTTTGTGTTTTTTTTTTCACTTTGAGACTCTTCACAGCAAGTGGTATCTAGACTTATGGTAAAGATTGTGTATTGTATAGTATGAAGAATTTGAATGGTTTGGAAATAGAAAGCATTACAGAAGCAGAGAGGATGACACAAGTCTATGACACCTAGAAACTGCTTTTGGTTAATAACTGCATTTATTTTACTTAAGATGTAGATCAAAGATTTGAAGAGCCTGGTATATTTATGGGAAAGGAAATAGCAAATCAAAAAAGAAGGACAGGCCCCATTTGAATTCCTGTGCCCGAATATATGTTTTTAAAGGACAGGGGCCTTGGGGCTCAGAGAGATACTAACTTGCCTAAGCATGCGACTGATCTGGGGTTCAAACTCCAGAACCTCCCCATATGGTTCCTTGTGCCTGGTCAGGAGTGATCCTTGAGTGCCAGAAGCAAGAACAAGCCCTGAGCACAGCCAACTATAGTTAAGAAAGCGGGGAAAAAGACAGAGGTCTTATGAAATGAGACTGTGTTGTTAATTACCTGGTTTTTCCAAGTTAAATTCTTAAGAGTAAACTGACTAATAGGATAGGTGCCAACTAGAGAAGAGTTTTAGTATGAGTGTTGGGTCTAAACAAGATGTCTGGTAAGTCACTCTCTTACACATAAAGTCTGGTAGCCACTTGCTCCACTGGACTCAAGTCTGCATTGTTCTCTATTTCTCATCTCTTTACGGTTCTAATCACTATCAGATTTCCAACCAAAGCTGATAAACATTGCTGTTCTTAGTTCTAGAAATAGTATTATATCCTTCCTTATCTGTAGCACCTGAGTTTCTATATCCTTACATACCTGCCTCCAAATAACTTGACTTCGACTTATCCAAACCCTGTAATATTGGAACTCATCAATCCTCGTGAGGAGCAGCCTATGATTCTGTTCATTTGCCTATAAATGTATTTTTCTTTACCTCTTTTTCTCCCAGTCTGTTCCTTGAAAGAATTTAGAATAATGTCACATGGACAGTGTCATCCCGTTAGTGATGGATGAATCAGGGTTTTAGAAACTTAGAACTAAGAAATAATAATTTAAATCCAGCTTTCAGTCTCTGCCAGAGCTAAAGGTACTAAGTTAGAGAGACAAATTGCATCAGTGGTTTTCTGTTTCTTAAGTAAAACTAAAAATAATAGGAAATTCGAAAAACATTTTTATCACCAGGCAACCAATTAAGCCTTTGAATGCAGGGCAATTGTACAAACTAATTGAAATAAAATATATGATAAACATTTCCTTCAGGCAAAGACTCACAGATACCCCTCTGATTCTGAAAGGCTTGTTTCTGTTTTCTAGAAAATGGTTAAGTAGGCTTTTATTTCAAAATTTAGCATTCCTGCAATAAAGTTAATTTATATATTTTGTATACTTTTGTATATATTTATTTATACTTCAGTAAAATTAGATTTCAGTGCAGTGTAGAAATTGCTTATCTCAGTTCATTCCACACAAGTTTTGTCTTATATGTGGTTATAATTGCAAATGCTGTATTCTCTACACATCTGAAATTATATTTATGGTGTATATCCCCAAAGTCATCGGCAAAGCAATGATTTACATTTAGAAACTCTCATCAACATGTCTATTCTCACACACACAATTTTAGTTTAATATTCCTATGTCTGAGAAAGAATAACCTGCCTACACTCAGTTTTCTGGTGATCAAGCATTTGGATTAGAGAAACCTCTGTTCAGCTTTGTCCTCTAAGGTGCAATTAGACAACAAAATTAAATAAATTGGAGGTTTGCTGCAAGCAGCACTACTGGGAGAAAAATATGTGTATTCCTAAAGGTGTTCCTCTAATCAGACTACCCTGCTTTCTTCCCCTGAGATTCAATAAAATCACCATCTCTGTCTCTGATCTCCCACGTCTTCCTTGCCACAGAAGATTGGGTGGGGATCCAGGGCAGTATTTGTTCTGCAGGGACCCATTTCTCTCCTCATAAGTGTCTTGCATGAAATTGTTTTCATGTTAATTTTAAATGGTGTCTGTTGCTTACAGATTTTATTAAGTACAAGCTAAATTTGTTACCATGGTACAGACATTGTGAAATTGTTCATTGGAATGCTGCAAGTATTTTTTTTTCAAGAGTGAAATTGAAGGCCTTCTACTTACCACCATGCTCCTTCTGTTACTGAAGCGATACCGTATTTTTAAATGTAGTTACCAGTAATTACTCAGCATATAATATCCTTCTGCTGGGCACCAGGAATACAATAATGATTAAGCACATTTCTGCTTTCAATTATTTGTTCCAGTTTTAATGAAACAAATGCAAACATAAGTACAGAACATAGTATTCCGTGTTCTGGAGAAGATTCTTTGAAAGATCTAATGGTAGGTGTATAGATCAGTGGAAGATTCCTAGAGGAGAGACTGCTTGAACAAAATTCTCAAATTTTCTCATGTCCATCATATGTGGGAAGTGCAGTAATTCAGTCCAAGGGTCTAGTATCTCTTTTGGAAGTATGAAGAGTAACCTGGGAAGTGACTTGAGAAAACAGAAATGAATCCTGATTTGGACTTGTGGCTACCTGTAGGCCATCTTAATTAGAATGGAATTAAGTAGTAATTCCAGGATTACTAGTTAAAAAGTGGTAAGCTCAGGATTTAATAAAAACAGGATTTTGAGTTTAAAATGGGGGGAAATACCATTTTTTTTGAAGGGAAAGACTGCTTTGTTTGCAGAGCCCTGAGTGGAGAAAGGCCAGTTCTTTATCATTATCATCCATTTAGGATTGGATCCCTATAGCCCACCCCAAGTGGCAGAGCTACAGTTAGTGAATAGAAACTATGGAGACAGAGCAAAACTCAATCTAAGAAGGGTCTTTAAGCTCTTAGACCTAGTTTTTCAAAAGAAGCTTAGAAATTTCTAAATTTCTATTGAAATAGGGAATAAACCCAGAAATTCCACCTCTAGTAAAATATACTAGTCATCTTCTATTTTGAGTTTTGTAGCAAGCGATTTGTTATTAATAGTGTCACATTTTAATAATATTACTTTTCTTCAGTTTCTAGTGATCTTTTTCAACTAGGATTAAAAAGGAGTAGGTTCCAGTCAGCACACCCAGGGTAATGTTGATCCCTGGATGCACCATGGGATCAACAGTCTTCGCTGTTGTGTTGGTGAATAAGACATGGATTCCTGGACGTGCTGATGAGTGAGAGCCCCAAATAAGATACCTGTGGATATTATTAGTAAGACAGAGATAGAAAAGTGTTTGAAATTTCTTAGGCTTCTGTCTGAAGATGGACAGCAGGCAATTCAGTCATTCTCCTATTGTTTCTCAAGCCCTCTGATGCATGGTCTTTCACGATCACTATCACAATCATCCTGTCCTTCTTAGATTGCCTCAAGCAGGCACCAGTAACATCTCCTTGGTCCTAGCCCTGAGATTCTAAAAACTGCCACATTCAAGGCTCTTTCAGAGTTATGAGAATGAGACCCATCGTTGTTACTGGTATTTGGCATATTGGGTACGCCACGGGGAGTTTTCCAGACTCTGCCGTGTGGGCAGGTTACATTCGGTAGCCTGCCAGGTTGTCCAAAGCAAGAATGAGATAATAAAATAATAATGGTCTTTACAAATACTGTTTTTCTATTATAGCCATATCAATTGGTGGCTTCAAGGAGTTCACTTCCCTTCTTTTATTCAGATTACACATATAAAATAATAGGCTTTTGACTGGTCTTTTCCTTCTGTGCTTATTATGTTTAATAAAATGTCAGGGAAAAATTGGAAGCAACTTTCTTGTTATTGTATTTGATAATAACTATTTTGAGGAAAATCTTAATAATGCAATATACACATTATTAAATTATTTATATTGACTCAAAAGTGGACTTTAATTAAAGCTTATTGTAGTTTCTAATAAAAAAAAAGTGTTAGCTAGAACTCTGTTTTCCAAAATGGGTGATGTTACTTCTTGAGGGGCATTGGCACAATCCAGGGGCATGGAAATAGCCTTCGGTAAGATTGGGGAACACTTTCTATTTGTTCCTTTAAAGAAGGTGTATTTGCAGGGCTACACTGAATAATTTTCTTTGCACAAAGCGAGGGAAATAAGCCAAATAAGTTTGGGACCTCTGAGCAAGCTGTTTTCATTATGGAAGTAGATTAGGTAACTAAAAGTGTTAAACTAAAAGTGTCAAAACAGTTAATTAATTTCAATGGCACAAATGCCTGGGATAGTAAAGTACTCTTTCGTCAAATCATAGGGGGTATTGGAATCTATGAGCATTCTGACCTCTAAGATATTAAATACCACTCTGTGGGAAAAAAGGTGCTCTTATTTTGGTACATCTAGTGTCTTCTGTAATCCTCTGAGACACTGACTTTTGCCAAGCTAGTGCTGTCTATTTACAGAGGCTGATAATTAGGTTGTCTGCTTAAAGAGCCCATAGGAGAGAAGGGGCTCTCTACTCGAAAAGAGACCACATCCACAACTTTCTTGGTGACCTCCCAGAAAAATCTCATTCAAGATATAAAGTAGTGGTACCTCGTACCCAGCTTCTGTAAAGAAACACAACTAAGGTGGGTATTCAGCATGATAGACATTTTCAGAAAAATGTAGTATAGAGCAGTCTTTGTCAATAAAGTTTACGTACACCCTAAAGACTTGTAAAACAAAGTTGATGTTAAACAAACATGTAAAAAACTAATGAGATGTTAAGAGTTTTCCTTGAACAGTGGTTTTACATTTCTAGGTTCCCAGCCCCATCCTGGAGAATGGAGTAAAGAGCCTTCCAATATAACTTGGTATCTCTATTCAGGATGGGAGATGTCCTTGTTGCCTGTATATTAATGAGCTTCGATTTCTAAGACATATAGATTGTGATCAGGAACACTTAAGCTGGAATAGAATTGAACAAGTTTTTAATATCAATTCTAGTTAGTAAAGTTTCTGAGGAGTTCATTTGTTTTTGACAAAAACCAAGCCAAAACAAAACAAAAACCCCAACACTTCCTGGGAATCTGGAGAGATCCTACAAAGATTAAGGCTCTTTGCTTTGCAAGCAACCAACCCAGGTTCTTGCAAGGCAAGTGCCTTACCCAGTGTACTATATCTCTAGCTCTCTGAGTTTTGCTTTTTCAGTTTATTTCTGGAACTTATTTTTCTTATGATTTACCTACTCTTCTGGGGTAAGCACAACTCACTCTTAAAAATCAAGATCATTACAGTATGACAGTTATTAACCATGCATTATATACGCTTCTCATAGGTTTTATTTACTTTGATGTGCTCAGTAAATAGCAAATCTAACCAAAAACTCTGAAATTCTGCATTAGTCTTTGCAACTTTAAGCACATAAAGCAAAATTTTAGCACTCTGTGGGCCATGGATCCTGTATCCAGTCTCCCATTGAACTAGGTAGGTCTTCCAGCTTTCTCATTTTACTAATGGATGACACTCACTGTTTTTGTAAATTGACATCTTACAGAGATTTGGTGATTTTTCAAATGATGCCCCTCCATGGTCTAGGAGGTTTCAGTGATGTACTTGAAGTTTGAATTTCTATATGCATATTTTTATGGAATTTTCTCCAGGTCAGGTCAACAGCAAACTGTTTTCAGAAATCAGATTAGTCTAATGGGAAGAGAAGTCTCTTTCCACCTTAGTTTGCCAGAAAATAATGAGGTGTAGGTGAGAAAAAATTCAGAAAATTACCAGGATCCTCTGTGGATAAAAAGGCTTTCCAAATCTTGATCAGACCCATTCGATTCCTTCTGGCAGTTCCTCAGAAACCCTTCTCCTTCTCCTCAGGGTTTGTGGTTGCTCTGTCTCACCACCAGTGCTTGCTTGTATTATATCAACAAATACTAAAGTTTGTCATTTCAGTTATCATTTTCTCATTTCAGAAAGTGGATGTCACCAGCAGGGCTGTGATGGAAATAATGACTAAGACAATTGAATACCTGCAACCCAATCCAGGTAAGGGGGTAGTCTTGCAGGTAACCTTGAGTTTTTCTTTGAAAGACACTTGAGACTTGGTGCACTGCTTTACCTCAGTCCCTCTTTTGGTGGTTCACTGTCTTCAGAGATTTTTGAGACTTTGGGGTTCCCATTGAATTAACTGGTACATTTTGTCGGGTTTTATCTGCCCTGCCAATCACCATGACCACAATTGTGTGACTCCTGGTCATTGCATCAATAAAAGCACCCCACATTGAACAGGAAACTTACTTTCAAATACTAATCAAATAATAGATCATTGTATAGGGACAAGAGTTTTTTGCCTTTATCTTTGCATAAACTTTGAAATACTCTTCAGTTTCCTGAGAGGGAGATTTACATGTGATATGCCAAACACAGTAACAAATCTCAAAATGGAGATATTACTGGGCCCTCTTAAGCAAATCGATGAACATATATATATGTATATATACATATATATATATATGCCGGAATGATAGCATTGTGGGTAGGGCATTTGCCTTACATGTGGCCGACCCAGGTTTGATTCCTTCTCCCCTCTTGGAGAGCCCAGCAAGCACTGAGAAATACTCTCAGTAGCCCGTACAGCAAAGCCTGGCAAGCTACCTGTGATGTATTCGATATGCCAAACACAGTAACAACAAGTCTCACAATGGAGATGTTACTGGTGCCCACTTGAGCAAATTGATGAACAATGGGAGGACAGTACTACAGTGCTATCATATACATATATATAAAACACCGTTGTGGGGACAACTTGGGGCACAAACTATAATATAAGGGTGGTGCTAGCTGTTAAGAACTTTCATTTCTAAGGGCTGGAGCAAAAGGAAATTGGGACATCTATTCGATAAGATATAATCATTATTAAAGATTTTGAACTATAAACAGTTAAATTATTTTTGTGAAATGCAAAGGATTAAAGTTCATATAAGCACATTTGAAATCTTTGAGAGCTATTCTTAATTCTGATTTCTCACCAAGCATATCACAAATCAGCATTTGTTCCTGCTAACCATTCCTTATATTTTAAAGGAAGGAAGTTGTCATGGAGATAATGAAGCTATCTATATACCTTGAAAATAGAGCCAAACAGAATTGGGGCAATCTCTGCAGGTCTGAAATGTAACTGAGCGAAGCAGCTGACATAGATGCTCTCACTGCTCTTTTCTGTAGTAGTTCTGAATAGCAGAATATAGAAGATGGTAGTAAGGCTCAGGTGTTTGTGTGAGATACGTGAGTGGAAAATTGCTCATTTTGAAATTCATTTCTTTGGAAGTTTGGAGATTTCAGTGTTCTTGACAAAATGTTTCATGTCTGTATTAGTCCCAGTGTGTTGGTATCTTGAGCATTAGGGATCTGGAGTTAAAGAAATGTTGGGGTAAATAGAGAGAGCTCATACCTTGTGAGGACTGCAAGGCTCTTCTGCTGCCTGTGGCTTTCACAATACCGCCACTTATCTCCACTGGTATAGCTACCTCCCACTGCCAGGGGAACATTCTTAATCTTTTTTACTTTCTTAAAATACGTCATAAGTGGGATTATTTGAAGAAGGTAAATATACTTGCAAACATGACAGACTCTTGGAGCCAGGGATTTAACAGACAAAGGATAAAATGGTTAATGGATTGGGCTAAAATTAGTAAAAATCAAGTCACTTATTTTACCTAAAGCCTTCTTCCTGACCTTTGTGTTCCTCCCAGATGCCCGGATGTGTGGATCTCCTGAGTATCAACCTGTACATGGTCAAATTCTGAAAGATTATTGCTCACCCTTTCTTAACCACAAGAACCTGATGTAAGGGCCCCAGGATAGCTAGGTTGTAAAGTGCCTGCACAGCAGGTGTGCATGAGTCCACAAATTCAGTCTCTATCACCCCTGACCCCCATAAGCATACCCATGCTGAATGAGACAGATGGTGCTGCAGTGATGTAATGCCCTGGCAAGATCTGCGACCAAGTATGTGACCCCCAGCCATTACAACAAGAAAAGGCTGGGAACCGGAAGTTTCATAAGAAATACATATTAAATAAAAGAAATGACTGTATAGAAAGAAGACACTTTCTGCTTTTATCTTTGAGTAGAACTTTGAAGTGCTCTTTAACTCCCCATGATTCGCATGTGAATTATGCTGTAGTTTATTGTTGTAGGGGTAAGAGGGAAGGCAAGGAAAAATAGTATTTATTGAACAATATTGCATTGCTAGTATGGTGCTATTTACATTACATTCTCATCTGTAAAAGTAACAATCTTTCCTGACTGTGAGAATAAATAACAGTTGAGCAATTTATAGCATCTAAATGAGACAAAAATTTCATTGTAAAACAAAGTTCTACATTGGTTTCAATTTTGTTTTCTTGAGTATAATAAAACTATGTTCTACTATAGGTAGAAAGGTATAGTGTTTTTAATACAATGCCTCCATCAAATTCATAGTCACTCAGAACCTCAAATAGAGGTTATAAGTAATATAAATAATCCATATTTAAAATAGGATTATTTCATGTGTAATTAATAATCTTGAGATAAACTCTCTTCCTGAAGTTAGAGGAAAATGTATTCCAGTGACTGCTTCTTAAGAAGAGAAGAGCATAGATGTAAAAAACTATGCAAGCTGAAGGTTTGTGTTCGCAGGCTCTCTGCATGACTATGTCTCACCGCCCGCATTCGGTGCCCTAGAGCCACTGTGTGTGGCCTGGATCGGGACAGCTGTTGGTCAAGGCAGACAAAGGAAGAGACAAGGGCCAGGCTGGTTGGTCTTAGTAGCTGTTTATTACCAGGAAGTTTATCCCATAGAAGAAATTTATGTTATGGAGGGCCCAGGTTCTCTCAAGGGCGTGTTCCCCCTGCTAGTCTCTCCTTGGTCCATCTAGCAACCCTGCTCTCTCCTCTCTCCAGCTCTCTTGCCTCTCACCCTCCTGCAGTATGGTCTGACCTCCACCCAGTCAGGTAGCAAAATCAACATAAGAAAGCCCTTCCTGAGGGCCCACCTACAAGTTATTCTAAAGCCCTTCCTGGCTGCCCCAGGCAAAAGAGCTCCATAGGGTGTTTTTCTCTTTTCCTCAGTCCAATAAACTATCAATAAACTATCAACTATCAACTATTAACTATTCCTGAGGCTATGCAGGAAGGACAGAACAGTGTTATCCTACACATAGGGGCTGGGGCAATAGCATAGTGGGCAGGGCCTTGCATGCTTCCTACCATGGTCCGATTTGCAGCATCCCATGTGGTGCCCCGAGCACTGCCAGGAGTAATTCCTGAGTGTAAGAGTCAGGAGCTGGAGCGATAGCACAGCGGGTAGGGCGTTCGCCTTACAAGCGGCCAACATGGCCGACCCGAGTTCAATCCCTCCACCCCTCTCGGAGAGCCCGGCAAGCTACCCAGAGTATTCAATATGCCAGACACAGTAACAACAAAGTCTCCAATGGAGACGTTACTGGGCCTGCTCGAGCAAATCGACGATCAATGGGAGGGCCTTGACCTTTACCTTTTTAAGAGTCAGGAGTAACCCCTGTGCATCGCCAGGTGGACCCAAAACAAGCAAAAAAACCAAACAAACAAAAAAGAGAGCATAAAGACAAGGAGAATGCTTAGGAGCCTGAGAGATGGAACAAAGATTAGGATGTTCCTTTTCCTGTGGTATCCGTGTCTGCTTTGGGTTTCAGGGTGATATTTGTCTCATAGAAACTATCTGGGACTGTTTCTGTTTCTTCATTTTTCTGGAAAAACATGAAGAGAATTGGCAGTAGGTTCTCTTTAAAGGTTGAAAGAATTCATTAGTGAATCCATCTGGGCCTGGGCTTTGGTTTTTGGGAAGACTTTTGATTACCATTTCAATGTCTTTGACACTGATTAATCTATTCAGGTATTCCAAATCTTGGTTCAGACTTGGGAGGTTATAGGAGTCCAGAAACTTACCCATTTTTTCAAGTTTCTCTTGTTTCATTCCTTAAAGATTTTCAAAATAATCTCTAATAATCTTTTGAATTTCTGTGGTTTCTGTTGTGATGTCCCCCCCTTTATTTCTGATTTGATTTTTAGGGTCCTCTCTCCTCTTTCTTTGTGAGTCTTGCTAGTGGCTTCCCATCTTATTCTGTTTGTCAAAGAACCAGCTCTTGGTTTCATTGATCTTTTGGATAATTTTTGGGGATTCCATTTTGTTACCTGTGACGTATTCAATATGCCAAACACAGTAATAAAAAGTCTCACAATGGAGACATTACTGGGCCCACTTGAGCAAATCAATGAACAATGGGAGGATAGTGCTACAGTGCTACGGTGCAATATTGTTAATTTCTGCTCTGATGTTTATTATTTCTGTCCTCCTGTCTGGTTTGGGCTCCTTTTGTTGGTTATTTTCTAAGATCTTAAGCTGTGAAGTCAAGTTGTTTATGTGGGCCCTTTCTTCCTTCCTGACACTGCTTTTGTTGTGTCCCACAGGTTCTGGTAGCTGGTGTCCTCATTCTTGTTTGTTTCCAGGAATCCTTTGTTTTCTTCTTTAATATATTCCCGAACCCACTGATTATTCAGTAGTGAGCTATTTAATTTCCAGGTGTTTGATTTGATTAACGTCTATTTTAAGTGCATTATGGTCTGAAAATATACTTGATACCATTTATATCTTCTTGATTTCATAGGGGAATATTTTGTGGCCCAGCATGTGGTCTATGTTGGAGAATGTTCCATGCGCACTGGAGAAAAATGTGTATTAGGCTTTTGGGGGATGAAGAGTACTGTATATATCTAGTATTCCTTTCTCTTTCATATTTTTCCTTGAAAGTCAGTATTTCCTTGCTGAATAATAGTCTCAGTGATCTATTAAGAGGTGACAAGGTGGTGTTGAAGTCTCCAACTATTTCATTGCTGCAAATGTCCTCCTTGAAGTCTATTAGCAGTTGTTTTAAGTATTTTGCTGACCCCTTGTTGGGCGCATATGTGTTTAGGAGTGTAATTTCTTTATGATTATCCTTTGATTATTAAGAAAGTCTTCACTG